ACTAGAGCCTTGGCATCCATGATACTCCAACAACTGATCTGTCAGCCTCATGCCTCTAGATATGCATTCTCGGTATAAAAACCGTTCTCTCGCGACTGATAAGCCTCACTCAGTTCCCCTTCATTGTGCACACAAAGCCTACAATGACAAAGTTGTTCTCCGTCATATTGGCCATCTCCTTGTCAATGTACGACCTTGATGATTTTCTGAACTCTATTTTATGGCTACTGATCAGATAACCTCAACAGAATCATCCTACATTCTCCAGTAGTACGAGGTCTAGCACTCGAATCACAACAGGAAATTAGTATGTTTCCCCCACCCTCGGCGTGTACTCTCGTCCATTAACGAGAATTCTTTTCCCCCGGTGCAAGGTGCAAGAAGTCTGGACACTGCGGGGGGGCAACTCACTAGTATCCACATCGTTGCAATCGTTCTCGGGGCTGTTGCCTCTGTCTCACTGGCCATTGCCGGTTGCCATCGCCGGGCAGTAGAAAAGGAAAAGGCCGCCAAGAGGTTGCAGGCTCAACAAGGCCAATAATGGGAAAGAAGCTGTGTCCCCTCCTGAGTTCCCATTAAGGCTTTGGAGATCAAGTGCCTCGGACATGGGTTAGAAAATTAGCTAAATATTGTTGGTTTCTCAGACATTTTATGGAATGACTTACTTGCTATATGTACTGTACATACATACACGACGCGCATATAGTAAAGTCGAGCTGGACGTGACGGATGTACAAAAGCCTCGCAGTATTCGTATGCCAATTTCGGGAAACAATTGGTATTCCTCTCTCTCTCTCGTACCATTGAAAGCCTCCTTTGACTTCTACTTCATATGTCTCCCCATACACACCGATTATAGCGACGGACGGAAGCTGAAGTATCTATCCATCAAAGAGGAGAGAGTCGGAATGGATCACTCTCAATATCCCCCCCGGACGTTTATACACGATGCATGTATGATGTATTGTATCAATTTGGACTTGACAGTAGAAATTAAATGTACAGAGGTTTTTTTTGATCTATCACGGGGTTTCAAAACCCCATCGGAACGTGCGGCTTCTTTATGCCAGTGATGTGGTTTTTTGAGCGAGAAACGGGATATGTAGTCAAATCGGCGTCTGTATTGATTTAGAGATACATCCCCTTAGGACCCAGTAGGATTCGAGGACCTGTTGTACATAAGTACTACGCACCTTCTAAATGTACAATAGCGCGTGAGGGACGACACCAGTACGAAGTCGCGGGCATAGTGGCAACTCATGGTATGGTCGTAATCACACGGGAACGAGGTGATCACCTCTCGCACTCTACAAGCCATCGTTAATTTTACCAGAAGTGCAAAAAGAGATGTCGCTATAGAAAAACTTTTTTATCTCTATCCCATTCGCACTACAACTTTGTAGACCCACACTTGGTATGCTGAAGTTCACCTCTGTGAAGTTGCAGATTTCTTGGAGTGAAAATGAGCAATACCAGAACAATCCAAGGGAAGCGTTCGAATAAGCGGAGAAGTGCAAAAGTGACACACCGTGACGTTTGGCTTTGACAGGTAGATCTGGTGTTGCCAACAGTCAGCTCGGCTCGGCTCCCTGAGCCGCTCGAGCCGGCTAAACCGCAGCTCGAGCCGGAAAAATCCTTCATATAAAAAATATTCTACAGTCCCAATAAATCCCTCTAGGTATGCGTAGAGTGATTAGAACTCCTCTATAGACTCCAAGGCCACGCTGGGCACTCACTGACTGAGGGTTTTAGGATCCGCTCTGCTGGAACACATCTGAACTTTGAAGTCCCATCCCAAACAAACCTTGGATCTACAAGGACCCATCCTTCTATGTCAAACTATGACAGGCTACTCCTATAAACGTTAGGACTCGGCAGTTGGACATCTACACTCTACATCACGATTCACAACAATTCTCAAGTCCCGACTCCCAAAAATAGCGCCCGTATAGAATATTTATCCTTGGCATCTACGGTGACCAGTCTGAGTCCTAAGTTCCAACCTCATCCCGAGAGTCCGAGAGCCTCACATCCCGGGTTATTGGCCACAGGTACCCCTCCTCAAAGCTTAGTCCCTTCAAATAATGTTGAATTATGACTTATCACAATATCGGATACTGCCTCATTTTTCACTGTCCTGATTTACCCTCAATTTGATATCCCACGTGCGGCGTAGCCCAGCTGCCCAACCCCATCCCGGAACCCAATGGATGAAGGAACCATCAATTCTAGAGCCTCAAAAGCTCAAACAGTTTCCTGGTTTCTCCAATCTCGACTCTTCTCACTTTCTGGATCATTGAATAGTCATAGTAAGTGTCACCAGGTGACTAGGGCTCAAGACTGGAGGAGAAAGACTAATGTGCGCTCTTCTATGTATTGTGTATGCATTTAATGGTATTAGAGAATTGTATAGTATATTCCTAATACAGTGTATATTTGGTTGAACGCCGTGTAGATCTCTTCTCGGACCCACTTATTGCGCCACATTACAGTGTATATCTGGTTGAACGCCGTGTAGATCTCCTCTCGGAGACTCGGAACCACTTATTTCGCCACACTGCAGTCACTAGTGGATATTTGGTTGAACGTCGTGTAGGTCTCTTCTCGGACCTATTGTTTGCGCCAAACTAGTGACTACATAGTACAGTGTATATTTGGTTGAATGCCGTGTAGATCTCTTCTCGGACCCACTCACTGCGCCACACTGCAGTCATTAATGGATATTTGGTTGAACGTCATGTAGGTCTCTTCTCGGACCTATTGATTCCACCACACTAGTGAGTCTGACTACAGTGTATATTTACTTGAACGCCGTGTAGGTCTCTTCTCAGACCCACTTATTACGCCACACTAGTGACTACAGTGTATATCTGGCTGAATGCCGTGTGGATCCCATAGAAATGTTACAAGTTCCCATCCTGATGAATCAACTTCTAAGTTTTGACCCAAATTCATCACCAACTCCAGACATCCCGGGACCCGGAGGAAAGTGCTCCAGCTGCAACCAAAAAATCTATCCTGAAGCCAATGATATCGAGACAGAACCTGCTGAATAAACTTGCCCCGACCTTTGAAGGAGCCTCACAATAATATACCTCCTGAAAAAACCTTCACCGAATCTCGGTTATCGGATATCCTACAAATTAGAACTATACAATCCCGAAAGATTCTTATTGTGGTACCAGATACGTCAGACTATACTCGTTGGAGAATTAAGCTATCAGGATTCAACACTGTAATTATTCTCTGTCCAGAGAAACTAGGAGCCAAGCGCGACACGCTAAGCCTCTGACTAGCGTATCCCACAAGTTTTTTTTTCCGCATAGAAGAGTTAAATCGTCATTGTAGGGTGTAGTACAGTCTATTTACAGTAGTAATATGTCGTTCTTACTACGTGAATCGACCGTTATCAAAAGAACCTATCGAATAGGATTAGGGATAGGCTATGCAGCGTGCCATGTGCGACAATCCAATCCAATCTACCCCTACGTGAGCAACCTCTCCATTCTGAGAATTGTGTCCTACAGGTCAAAGTGTCGCTGATGGAAGTGGTTTTGGACGATGCTGATTGCCGTCGTGTTTCTGTAGACCAAGACGGCATCAGATTGTCCTTGGTGTTGCATGACGCTGGATAGCAGTGGTCAGATGAGATCCCAAAAGAGTGAAGAGCGTGAATGAGAAGACTTACAGGCAAAAGACACAAATACGTTGAGTAGTGTCAGCAGGATTTGGTTTGAGGAATATTCTAACTTCTTGAGCGCTGCCAATGGGTTGATGAGGCATTGAGTTGAATGCTATGAATTGTCGCAGATTGTCAGCAATGAGCAATGAGCAATCAGTGGGGACTTGGGATCATGAACGTACAAGGAGTTACTGAGGACATATTGGAATTGGGGCGTTGAGATGATGATCCTTGTTGTGCCGGGTTTTTAAGGCTACTATGAGGTGCACGCTACCTGTGGGAAATCAGCGTATCGACTTTCTTGCTGCGCGTCCGCCGTCGCGTGAAGATAACGTGGCCAACGGTCAACTTGTAGACATCATCCTGGGAGCTGGTTACGGGCAGAGCTCCAGAGAGCGCGTTACTCCGACTCCCGAGCCTCGAGGTACCTTCATTTTTGATCGACAGATAGGGTCCGGTGAGGTGAGTGAATTGGGATTCGGCAATTTCATTCACGGATCGACTTCTACTGAGTCCGTTGAAGGGTCCATCTAGAGCTCAAGTAACTGTGATATAGTTAGTTCATCTCCCGAGTCCTGTCTCAAGTGAGCAATGAGCAATAATACGTACCTGATCAAGATTGTATCCCAATTCCCGTAGCGGTAGGGCCCTTGTATCAATCTAGATATTCTAACCATTGTACCTGTGCGAGTCGCAAGTCGCACTCGCGACTAACAGCCTATATCTAGGTTGAATCAAGGGTCCTACCACTACGGGAATCGGGATACAATCTTGATCAGGTACGTATTATTGCTCATGGACTTGAACACTGCTGACTTACCATCCCGATTCTGAAAGATGATGAGAACTAGACTCTGGATCCCGGAGAACCATCCAGTATCTTCATCACCACATTCACAAAGGACAAGCATGTCGAACTAAGACTATAAGATCAGTCGAGACTCGGGACTCGGAACTTAGAACTTAGAAGGGTGATATGATGATCCCGAGATTTACGACTCATGAGAAACTGAAGCTCAAGTCTCACACCATCAATGTGACATGGACACAATCAATCATTCCCTCCTAATATACAGGTCGCTCGGAGCTCAGAATGCTGTAACGCAATTCCTACATGCATCTCCCTTACTTGTTCGCGATCATCTCCTCACCAGTGACCATTGACATCCTTCCCATCCAATAAATAGTTTCAATGGCAGGGGCAACGCGGGCGGCGGTACTTTCTCATTCACATCCCATCATCAACGTTTCAATCAACCGTAAGTCTGCTTTTTGGTTGAGACTTGAATAAGTAAAAAAATGACAAATGGGAATACAGCGCAACTATCGGGATTCGAACCCAAGCCTGCATGACTACATGCTCCGAAACTCCGAGTGTAATATTGCCATGCTGTGCTAACCGCTACACCATAGTTGCTCATACCTACATAACCGTATTGGCTATATACCCACTTCCTATATCCCGTCCAATAAATAGTTTCGACGGCAGGGGCAACGTGGTACTTTCTCATTCACATCCCGATTCCCATCATCAACGTTTCAATCAACCGTAAGTCTGCTGTTGGCATGCAATTTAGTCCCCTTCTCTTTGCCTAGCCGTCTGAGGTCTCACTATCGGTTTCCCCAAACTTCAAAACTATCACAATAAAATTGAATGAAATTTGAATACAACTGTTTCGGTCTCTTGATCTTTATAGAGGATTATGGGGTACATATACATTTAATGACATACGTATACACTGACCACTGACCAGTCTCGGGTTACCTACTTGCTACTTTTTCCTGGGTCCCTCGACATTCTCCTCGTCTCCATCCCGATCCTTGCGCTTATTCGAACCTTCTGTAGATCTGTAGCTGTTCAGCAACACATCATCCACCAACCCTTTGGAGTCGCAGATCATTCTGGGAACTAAAAATGGACAAGGAAGTCAACCGTCAGATGAATCATGATAGATCATAGATCACGAAGAAGGGCAATCGAAAATACATACCCCAGCTTCCCGGAGATAGCATCGCTGTCCTACGAAGGGCATGCTGTAATGTACTTCCATGTTCTTGAAGGAAGTTTCTGTTGCTCTGATGACTAGTTTCACCCATCACACTCTCGTAAGAATTCCGGGCCCTCTGAGCGAAGGTACCCATAACATTGCTAAGGCTTGCAACCTCTTGCATAGCACGTTCGGGCGAATAGCCTTTGTTTTGAGAAGTCATGGGAGGTTTGAGTGGACCACGAGGACGAGGAACGCGCTCAAAGTTCGTTTCATATTGTGTGACTTTGTCCGTAATCCGCTGCACATTGATAACCTGCTGATTGGCCATCCCGAGAATGATGTTGAGTACCGGACCAGCAGAAGCTGCAACTCCACGTTCCGCGACATGGATGAGATGAGGAACGTCGGCCAGCTCGAACCGCATGTTCGAATAGGTTAGGAATGAGCGGGTGCGCTCCTCGACCAGTTGTCTGAATAGGCCAAGAAAATCAGAAATGAATCAACGGCTCAACGAAGGAAAAGAGACTTACTCGACGCTGTCGGTTCTGTCCTGATCAGCTCAAAGATGCTGCTGAACCTGAGCCGTCAAGTTATCGTTTCGGGTCCGCATATCCTGCAAATCTTGATCATGGCGCTGTCGCACCGTCATCATGTGCCGCTCATTGTCCCATAGAAGTGTTGTCAGCCTGGTATTCTCAGTTTGGAAGTTCTGGTTCTCCTCGGTCAGGTTCTGTTCGGTTTGACCAAGTCGCTCCAGAGTCACGTTACGCTCAGAAAGACGCTGCACTTCGAGCTCGAGCGTTTGGATACGAGTTGTTAGCCTGGCATTATCGGCTTGGAGATTCTGGCTCTCGGCCAGGTCCCGTTCATTTTGCTGACCAAGTTGTTCCAGAGTCGCATTACGCTCAGAGAGACCCTGCACGTCAAGCTCGAGCCTCTGAATACGAGTGAGGAGGAGTGTTTGCTGGGCGGGAGGGGGAACAGGGGAACTTGAGGAAGGAGCATGATCGCCACCAGGCACAACCTTGGGTTCAACATGAGGAGCTTTGGGACCCACAAGGTCATTTTGTTGAAGCAAAGTCAAGTCAGACATGATTTTAGTGTCGTCAGTGAGACATTGGCGAGTAGAAGGGAGTAAATGTTCGTCCTGAAGGAAGAGTGTCCATTAGACTCATGACTGGAGTATTGGGAATAACAATGGAGGAACCGGTGGGCGTCAAAAGTATACATATACTTACCGGGAGCCCAATCCCTCTCCATCTGGATAGTATGGTTCTGGAGTCGGTGTAGAACCTGGAAGGAACAAACGATTTATGATTGGCTCGTCTGTACCACTACCACCTGTAGACCTAGGATTTTGAATTCGAGCGCTCAGTTCCACGCAGTCAAACTCCAAGTGACGCTGTGGAGACCTGCCGCGCCTTGAGGAGGGTCCAGGAGGAAGGGGGCCTTGACGGGATGGGGTCAATCCCATCGCTAGTTCTGTGAATTACAAGAACGTTAGAATTAGGAAGTCTTCTAAGTCAATAGACATCTGAGTCCTGACCTGCATTACATTTAGTAACCCGACAATAAGTCCTATCTGCACTAGTCTCTCGATTCCCTTGGGTTTGACTTCGGACCGTTCGGTTCACTCGGGATGCAGGTCCATAGGAAGGATATGGCACCCGATTTGGTTTGTTAGGGTCCACACCCTCGTCAGAATCATCAGAAGATGGGGCCGTTCGAGGTAGAGGAGCAACAGTGCGAACGTTAGCCGGTAGGGGAGGGATCCTAACAGTGACTTTTGAGGAAGATGGTGCATCAACTGTGGGTTATTCGACTTTCGGAGGCCTGCAAGATTTCTGTCGCGTTCTAGGTCTGGTAGTCAATGGTCCTGCCTTACTACCATCAACAAAAGGACTCTGACAAGGTGGAAAGGTAGGTCCCGGGTGCCTCGACTTCCTAGGGGATTAGTGTGTTGGTTGAATCCGACTCGGTTCACCGCCCTTTCCCCCAGAAGATGGTCCCGGTTTCGACTCATTCACCGCCTTCCTCGCCTGACGCGGCTTTTTTTCCGCCTGAGACTTCTTCTTCTCCTCAGAATATCCACCCGACAGGCGAACGTACTGATTAACACGGCCTTCAGCGAATTCGCGAGTCCAGTACTCGATCTTCTTTAGCCCATATCGTGCCACCTCATCTTTCGTCTGCTGAGCCAGAAACTCATCTGCATTCCCAACGATTGGCTCATCCAGCATCGACTCCAAACGCGCCTTGTCGTTCTTGTTCAGTACTCCGTGATACATGTGCTTTGAACGGTTATACTTGATAAATCCCCAGTGCTTCGTAGAGAAATAAATATAGACTTTGACAAAAAAAGGTTAGGATACGTACCATTGCCAGATTCCATACATCTTGCTCATTCAGCGGGTAGAATGGCAGCGACCACTCGGCCCCCAGTCTGCATGCAATGTGAAGACGATTCAAGCAAGGCTCGCGACGAGAGGAGCATTCCTTGCAGGTTGCTTTCGTGATCACATCCTTTCCCTTGTTATTCTTATGGACATCTGGAAGGCAAGGGACACCGCGCTTCATGCAACCGAAGCAATTCGAGTCGTTCTATAGAATATGTTGTTAGAATCGCTCACAAAGATGAGAGAAACACGGCTTACACGACCAAAGAAAGAACGATGGAACCAATACCACCACATCACCCGGAGATCAATTTCCTTATTCGAGGAAGCAAAAAGATTAAAGAATCGGCGGCGAGCACGAGTTGCAAAACCTATCGACAGGAAATCCCCTTGTTCCAGATCATGATAGTACCGACGGGCTGAAAAATAAGGCAATGTTAGTAGTGGAATAAGTAGCGGTAAACTCTCCCCGGTAGAGACTAGAGTAGACTCACCTAGAGGAATATCTGGGCGAGGGGGATACTCCAGGCCTATCGGGACCTCTTCCGGCTTCAGGAAAACCGAATCAAAGGGATTTTCGGACAAGTTGACTTTCTTTGGTCGCCGCTTGGCTTGCTTCCGAGGACGAGCCACCCCTACAGTTGGGGAATTCATAGTTAGAGTTCAAGCCTCGAGCAAAGTCAAGATGATCATAACATACATGTACCAGGAACCAACGAATTCTGCGGACTATTGGCGTCCTTCTTATCCTCGCTATTTAATTCGATGGCCGTGTCCCAAGAGCCTCTGGGATCTGCAGCATCCAGTTTGAACTCTGGAATCAGACCTGCAGTACTGCCCGTCTTCATCATATTGAGAGCTTCAGTATCTTTGACATTCGGTCCAAACTCAAATGAGGCAACATGCTCGGGATCCATCCTCAAGAGTTCAATAATAGGAGGTTGATTTGGAAGGAATGGATGGAAGGTTTCATGCATACACTCTTTGCCATAGTCCAGGTCTTGGTTACCCTCTGCGGAACGCCTCAGTTAACAAATCTTTAGAAAATCGGGATGGGAAGTACGCACCTACAACAGCACAAACGTATAGCCAAGACAGGTCATGAACCGCAGTGGGAGAGAGATGGGTAGCAGGACAAAAAGGTGCAGGAGCCCACATCAAGCGAAATCGAACAGCGTTCAATGCTTGCTCAATCGCCAAACTCCGTGAACATTCTTCAACGGTGTTGCGAGGACGACGATGCGGCTGTTTGCCGTAAAGTCTCTCCAGCATCTGCTCAGCCCTAGCACGTGCATCTATCAACAGCTGGCTGATCATGCCGTGCCATTGCTCCATCGTCAACAGGGAACCCAAAACCATGTTTTTCAGAGGATCGAGTGCCAATATGATGTCTAAGGACGCGTTACTTGAGCCTTGGACGAACATTGGATGGGTAGGGTATGATTCTGTATCTTCCGCAAGCACTTGAGTATCCTTTTCGGAGGGTTGGTAGTCATTGTTGCTGGACATGGTGGTTGTTGTTGTTGAAGTTCGATAAGCGCCTGAACCACTGGTTCGTGCCAAAGATAAGCAAAGCCATGACAAAGGATTCAGCGAAAATGGAAATTCACCACGTGGCACTCAGCTCAACTAGTTCTCGAGGGCAAAGACAGATTAAAGGAGGGGGGAAGGTGGATATATAAGCGCCCAGCAATTCTCTTCCCAGACAAACCTTGGACCTACAAGCACCCATTACTGACTGTCACACTATTACGCGTCACCCTGGACACCTTGGACCGCATCACGGTAACTCCCGAATATAGCGCCCTTATTCATTCTCAGTGTCTAATATCCTAGGTTGTTGGCTACAAGTGCCTCCTCTAAATCTCCGTATAACGTCGACTCTTAAGGGCACAAGAGAGAAGGACTAATGTGTGCTGTATCATGTATTGCATATGTAGAACAATAATATCGATTGGGAACCATCTAAAGTAGCTGCGACCGTCCGATTAGCCCGAAAGGACACTGAATACATGTTTGCCGGGATCTTG